ATATCAGGAAACCATAGGTATAATGTTTGGCTAAGTCTGAAAATTAATTACAATTTGCTAAACTAAACAAATGTTCACTCCCTCACTCACAATATATCGGAAAAGGTTATTGATAAAAATAATTGCAACTTTTGTTTTCACTTTGAGAATGACACCAATTATATCTACACCGCACAAAATTTCAGGCGCCCAATTTAAGGAGTCAGGGTATTCATACCGATTTCGGATAAGATTTATAATGCTAGTTACATTTAAAAAGAGCGAGTAAAGCGTGTTTAGTTTTATCTGATTTTCTTAGCGTTAGCAACAATCCAGTCATGAAGTACCGCCACGTTGGTATATAGACCTGCAATTTTATTGTGCGGACATTTGATGATCCCCGAAACAATACCGATGATTTCGACAGCCTGGGTTCCCACACCTGGTGCGGTTTTGGCCAACTCCATGGGTTTGACGTTTGCGTTATCCTTCAGATTGATTGATGAGCTCAAAAGAAGAACTCCAATGTGAAAGGAAAATTGACTTATTTTACCAAAATCCTTGTGAGTTATGAACCGATCCACATTTAATAAAATGCCACCATCAGTTTTGTTGGTTGGGAAAACAGTTTGTAAATAGTCATGAATATCTTAATGCATAAATGTCTAATAAGTCTAGTGGCAGGCTTATCTGTTAATAGTTTTCTGGTAGAACTCAAAGCATTTTAAAAATATTTTCAGTCAAGACTAGTCTTGGCACTTTAATGTGTTCTGTCAGACTTTCTGGTTTAGGAGTGAGATTAAAAAGTTAAGACATTCCCTACGACGTCTTTGTTGCTAAAAGTCAAGGGTCTACGGGAAGTTTGTAGAGCTTTGAAAGTTATCTCTTGAATATGGTTTTCGATCCTTCCAAAATATGATTTCCAATTCATCTACAAGTAAGGCTAATTTACTATCTGACTGCAGCTGGAACGATATGCTCCGACCAGAGAGAGAAATAGAGAGAGATAGAGATGGAGATAGAGAAAGAGACATATAGAGATAGAGAGAGAGAGTGAAGAAAGGTAGTAATAGTAGGCAGAGTGGCACAAGCCAAAAGAATCCAGTAAGTTCTTTTCGCGGAAAGAATCGTAGGCGAAGCTGGGGGCCCTTGTGAGAGCTCCTCCATTGGAACTCATTGGTTGAGTTGAATTGATTTTGTTATTTCGCTAAAGGGGGTTATAGTAGCTCAGAAAAATGCTCAGACCAGAGAGCGAGAGAGAAAGAGATACAGAGAGTGAAGAATGGTAGTAATAGCAGGCATCAAAGCCGCAGACAACTGTTGAGAGTGGTGGGAGCCGAGGCAATCCAGTTTGTTTTTGAGCTAAAGAGGTTATAGTAGCTTAGAAAAAGGATCAGACCAAAGAGAGAGAGAGAGAGAGAAAAAGAGATAGAAAGGGAGAGGGAGATAGAGAGAGAGAGATAGAGAGAGAGAGAGTGAGAGAGAGAGAGATACATAAAGAGAGAGTGTAGAAAGGCATTGATAGTTGGCATCAAAGACAAGACAACAATAAGGCTCAGACCATAGAGAGAGAGAGAGAGAGAGAGAGAGAGAAAGAGAGAGAGAGTGAACAAAGGCAGCACCTTCGTGAGATCTCCTCCAGCGAAACTTGTTTCTTCGTTAAAGGGGGTTATAAGTGGTTGCTCGAACGCTTACATCGATTGCGAAACTGTCCCCAGATCCACGCCCCGTCTAATGCTATCCAGTTCTGTGTGGTATTGAAAAGTGTCCCTCGATTTTTGTGCAGTGTAATGATTTGCTTCAACTATTGCCCAACTCTTTCTGTGGCTGTTGTCCTTGCCGTTTGGCGCTTCGTTTCCATCAAATGGCAACGGCATTGCCCGTTAGCGTTTTCATTTCAAATTCAAATGTTGTTTGCATAAAAAACGAGTGAGGACGCTTGAGGACGAGACGAGACGAGTCTGGAGTAGTGAGAAGAGAGCCGAGAGACTAGAGACGTCACGTCGCTGCATTGTCCTGGGCGTTCTCAGCCACTGTCAGTGCCCCTGCCGATTTGATGGCTGGCGCAAAATATTATAACGCCGCACAATTCGGTGGTTGACTGACTGCATGCTAAGTGACAATAACAACAAGAGTCGGACGAGAGAGGATTGTCAGTGGGGTGGGGGGCGGAGCGGGATAAGTGGGCGACTTATACGAGTGTGTGGCCGTCAGAGTCGGGTCGCTATTTGTAAAGTCGTTGGCCGTCATATTTGAAATGAATGTGTCTGTGTTTTTGTGTGTGTGTGTGTGTGTGTGTGTGTAGAACAAACGGATGCGCGCGCCAAATCGAGAATGAAGCAAAATTGCAAAAGACGTTCCTTTTGCTGCAATGTTGGCCAACAGCTGGCACTGCATCGTTGTCCTGGACGCTAGTCTGTCTGTGTGCGTGTTTGGTTAAATGGATTGTTTACTTTGATTACAAAAATATGGCAAACGTTTGCACGTTTGATGTCTCACTGTGTTTTCCGTCTCTCTGTCCCATTTGGACCTTCTATTCACACACACACACACACACACACACACAGATACATGTGTCCATGCAAACAATTGCAATCACACTCAGATACACATACTCGTACACCCATATGGATAACAGGAGACAAATGCGCGCAGCTTCGCGTCCCTCGCTTGGGGCTCTGCGCTTCCAAAATCCAAAAGCTAACATTATTACAAAAAATCTGCAGTTACGAGCATCCTTTGCTCTATTTTTATTATAAGTATTCGAGTGTGTTCAACCCGTCCCCATCCAGTCCCCAACCCCACTTCTCCCTGGCTGGCTGCGTTGCTTTCGTTTTATAGTTTGCTGAGCTCCACTGCTGCAATGCTTAAAGGGAGCTTATTTAGTCATGAAAGCCTCAGAGTCCATACGCCTCGGTAATTTGGGTGGAATCTATTCGATTGGAAAAAACAGAGCCTCCTATGCGATCCTAACGCGGAGCCTAACAGAGTTGAATGCTTAAGAGTAGCGGACTTTGATTTCAAAAAGTGGAGACAGATTGCAAATCAATGTGGGGGCTACACCTTTAGACTATTAAGAATACAGTATCTTAAGGACTAGGACTAAAACTAAGTTAGGATCGCTCAGATTCAAGGTTTGGTTAGGTAAAGTAAAGGCGATGTTAGGTTGAGCTGGATGAGGCCATGATCGGTCTCTTGTCGTTGAGTTAGGTAAGGCGCTGATAGATTAGGCTAAGGGAGGCTAAGAAGGCAAGGTAAGATTAGGTGAGGCTATGTGAGGTTAGGTTTGCTTGGTTAAGGAAACCTGGCTTAGGCCAGACTCGGTTAGACTAGGATCTGCTTGGCTTTGTTAGGTTGCGCTCGGTTGTGCAAGACTCGATTGCACTAGGTTCGCCTTGGCTAGGTTAGGCTTAATCAGGCAAGGCTGGGCTGAGCTAGACTCGTTAGAATAGGATCGGCTTGGTAGGTTAGGGCTAGACTCGTTAGAATAGGATTGCCTTGGCTAGGCTAGGTTAGGCTAGACTCTATTAGACCAGGATCGGTTTGCTAGGTTAGGCTTAATCAGGCAAGGCTGGGCTGGGCTAAACTCTGTTGGACTAGGATCGACTTGGCTGCTAGGTTAGGCTCAATCAGACAAGGCTGGGTTAGGCTAGACTCGGTTAGAATAGGATCGCCTTGGCTAGGCTAGACTCCATTAGACCAGGATCGGTTTGCTAGGTTAGGCTTAATCAGGCAAGGCTGGGCTGGGCTAAACTCTGTTGGACTAGGATCGACTTGGCTGCTAGGTTAGGCTCAATCAGACAAGGCTGGGTTAGGCTAGACTTTGTTGGGCTAGGATCGACTTGGCTGGGTTAGGCTAGACTCTGTTAGGCTAGGATCGGTTTGCTAGGTTAGGCCTAATCAGGCACGGGTAGGTTGGGTTAGACTCTGCTGGACTAGGATTGGCTTGGCTGCTAGGTTAGGCTCAATCAGACAAGGCTGGGTTAGGCTAGACTCGGTTAGAATAGGATCGCCTTGGCTAGGCTAGACTCCATTAGACCAGGATCGGTTTGCTAGGTTAGGCTTAATCAGGCAAGGCTGGGCTGGGCTAGACTCTGTTGGACTAGGATCGGTTTGCTAGGTTAGGCTCAATCAGACAAGGCTGGGTTAGGCTAGACTTTGTTGGGCTAGGATCGACTTGGCTGGGTTAGGCTAGACTCTGTTAGGCTAGGATCGGTTTGCTAGGTTAGGCCTAATCAGGCACGGGTAGGTTGGGTTAGACTCTGCTGGACTAGGATTGGCTTGGCTGCTAGGTTAGGCTTAATCAGACAAGGCTGGGTTAGGCTAGACTCGGTTAGAATAGGATTGCCTTGGCTAGGCTAGGTTAGGCTAGACTCTATTAGACCAGGATCGGTTTGCTAGGTTAGGCTTAATCAGGCAAGGCTGGGCTGGGCTAAACTCTGTTGGACTAGGATCGACTTGGCTGCTAGGTTAGGCTCAATCAGACAAGGCTGGGTTAGGCTAGACTCGGTTAGAATAGGATCGCCTTGGCTAGGCTAGACTCCATTAGACCAGGATCGGTTTGCTAGGTTAGGCTTAATCAGGCAAGGCTGGGCTGGGCTAAACTCTGTTGGACTAGGATCGACTTGGCTGCTAGGTTAGGCTCAATCAGACAAGGCTGGGTTAGGCTAGACTTTGTTGGGCTAGGATCGACTTGGCTGGGTTAGGCTAGACTCTGTTAGGCTAGGATCGGTTTGCTAGGTTAGGCCTAATCAGGCACGGGTAGGTTGGGTTAGACTCTGCTGGACTAGGATTGGCTTGGCTGCTAGGTTAGGCTCAATCAGACAAGGCTGGGTTAGGCTAGACTCGGTTAGAATAGGAACAACCAAAAGGAGCTGGGTAATAATATACTGCTTATGTTGACAGTAAAAATGCTGTCGTCAGTTTAAGGGCTATACATATATTTTAATACATACTTTTGAAATGATGAAGATCAAGTAATCTAAGAGGCCATATTGGTTAAAGGAGAATAAGCTGAAGAGTTGATTGGCTAAGACTTCAAGGCTTCTCATTTGATTTAAGTCAAAAATGAAGCTCAAGGACGCCTATTTTTATTCAATTATTATATTGCTTTCAACATATCTCAATTAAGAGTAATCTCTTCAGCTGCCTTAACTATCCATTCGTGCAGCAGGGCAACATTCGCATATACACCAGAAAATTTTGCGTCCGCACACCCTTCACCCCAAGAAACAATACCAACAAGCTGGTCGTTGTAAACCAATGGTCCTCCAGAGTCGTAGGAACAGGAATCTTTGCCTGGTGCAGCAGCGCAAATCATATCCTCCGTTATTTTCGAACATACTGTTTGGTATTGATTTCTGCAAACTCCTTGATCGACAATGCCAACGTGAGTTCCTTTAAGTGTTTCTGGAATGCCCTGTTCAGTCAATCCCCAGCCTGAAACAAAAGCTTCGGCTCCATTGGGTGGTGGTGCATTAGCCAGTTTAATGGGCCTGACATTCTTCCAATCTTTCAGGTTGAGTTTTGAGCTAAGCAGAATAACTGCAATGTCATACCGAATCGTTGAAGTATTGAATTCTTCGTGCACTTTCATTTTTGATACTTTCAGGAGATAACCGCCTTGGCTACGATTGGTAGCACCCACCCGCACTAACAGATCTGAAGAATTCCTCGGATTTATACAGTGCGCAGCGGTCACAATGACTCTGTCGTTATAGATGGCTCCACCGCAGAAGGGAGTCCTATTTGAGTCTTGTATCGAGACTTGCCAGGGCGCTTGTTCGATGGTAATGTTCTCTCCGCCATAGATGCGACCTCCCCATTGATGGTGCCAGGCACTAGGTATGGGTTCAGCAAGGACCAGTAAGGTGGTTGTTGCGAGGAAAAGCAAACACTTGGTTAGCATTTTACTGCTCTTGTCCCTGAGTTTGGAATCACAGTGAACCCAATATGGCATAACTTGGTTTATATAGAGAAGATATATCTTTGTAGTAAGTTTTATCTTAATAATTCAAAAATGATTGATTGACTCACAAAATTGGATATCGGTTACAAAGTAAAAGCAAATACTTTCCTGACTTGAAATATGAGTTAACAGCATTTGATAATATTACCCATATTTTCTTCCCAACAACATATAGTATACTTGCCAAGTTATCGAAGGCGCGTGTGCCCTCTTCCAGATATCTTGGCTATTGTCTCACATTTTCTTTCGGAAAAGAAATATTGAAAAGAACAGAAAACGGATGATAATGTTGACGTGAACTTAATAATTTGAATAATTTTGTGCTACAAGTATTTCAAAGCAAAGACGCGATAATCTCTTGCTAAGAAATATTAAATTTGAAATGTTGTCTAGACTAGTATCTTACTTAAGAAAGTTTGAAAAAGTCTACCAAGTATAATTTGAAAACCGACTTAGATCGCAGCAAGTCATACTTCAATATCCATTAGCAAGGCGCCTGCTGACACGTCGAAGAAACGGAAGATGATGATATTGCTAATAGATTTATATAAAGCATAAGTAATTAAATAAGACTAAACTCTTAGCTTTAGTATTTGTATTTTGCTATAAGTTTAATTTAAGTTGTTGTAAATAATAACAGTAGTTTTAAAGTTTGACATTTATATAAAAAAAAAACTCAATGGTCGAAGATAATCTTGCTGAAAATTAACTTCGTTTTTCACAAATCATTTCAAAATTAACCAGTGCTTTGGATACATTTCTGACCTATCTTCATACCTTCACTGAAAATATCAATAATTACTTGTAATTACACTGCCAGCCTCAAATCACGGTCAACTATTGTGTGTAATTCAGAGTCTAATTCAATCGATTTCAATATTCCATCGGCCTCAACAAAAAAGCTGTCCTCATATTTACGCCAATTTCTGCATGAGTTCCAATTCCTAATCCAAACCGAAGCTAAAACCTGGTGTCGGACTTGCCTTGGGGTGTTCGATTCGGTTCGGTTCGGTTCCACTCTCGCACACTGGGTGCCTCCATAGTTATGCATATTTATCACTCGGCTTGCACTCTGAGCACCCTTGCAACATATTTACATTTCGTTGACTGCTGGCGAAACTCATTTTGAAAAAATAACATTTTTATTGGCAACAATTCTTCTGTCCGTGGCCGAAATCACGGCACTACCCCCCTCCGCACTCCCCAGCCAAATAGTTTTTACGCGCTCATACATTTTTTTGTGTTTGTTCTGCTTATTCTCGTTGGTTTTTTGTGGCACATTTTATTTTATTAATGCAACTTTGTTTGGCTATCGCTGACGGACGGGCGGACACCTATTCGGGCACCCAAAGCTGCCACCCACATGTCCGCTGCAATCCGCGAATGATTTGGCTCTGAGGTCCTGTCTGGCCATATTTTTGTAACCATTTGTTGTCAGCGCAGCGGAAACGGGGCGTATGTGGTATAATTTTTCTCGCACCCGGCGCTACCAACCGCCACCCATCGACCACATGTCGCTTATGATTAATTGAAGGATTCCCAACTGCTTCAATTTAAACGCAAGTTCTGTTGACCGTTCGTTTTTGTTTTTGTTGCCAAAGCAACGATGATGAGCATCGGCTTTAGGTTGCGCTACTTGCCACCAATAGAGCTGAGCTCGGTGACAAGCGATTAGGATGGAGTTAACCTTTGGGCCTTTTCCGATTTCCTATTGCTTTTATACTCTGTAGGGGTATATTAGGTTTGTGCAAAGTATGTAACACGCAGAAGAAGGCTTCTCCGACCCCATAAAGAATACACATTCTTAATCGGAATGACAAGACGAATCGATAAAGCCATATCCGTCTGACCGTCTGTCTGTATGAACGTCTGGATTTCAGAGACGATTGAGCTCACATACCCCAAACTTGGCATGTAGAATCTCCCGATATCCAGGCAGCACAAGTTTATTTTGATTTTTTTTGGGCTCGATCGGCTGTAGTGTTCTCTCTTGTTTCTTAATTAATAATATCCTCTTCTTCTACTCAGTCTCCAAGCTGCATTATTTACACTGAAGTCGGACTCTTACAGACAATTGCTTTTTTCGTTTCCTCACAGCATTTCACGTTTGAAAACCTACACCTTAAATGAGAAGGAAACGCAATTAAATTTATGTTTTCGAGTTTGTCTTCTATGCCAGATATCAAGATACTTTTTGTACGGTATTTTCCCATATTGATGAAAAACAAAACAATCAAACATTCAAGATTATTGAAATAATAATAATTGAAATTGTTCCTTTATTTAATTATTATTTTATTAAATGAAATTTAAAAAAAATTAAGTTTATATAATAAATAATAATATCATATTTATTTTTTTTTGCTCCAGAAAATTCCTTCATTCTCTTATTTCAATCATTGTATCTTTTGCTATTAATATTCCCAGATGCTGAAAAATATTTAATTAAAAAACAAGTTATTTAGAATCATAATTTAGTCATTTATTTGGAAGACGGTTTCACAAACTTTGCTTCTTCGTTCGGACGAGCTCAGCCGCCTCGTTTATAATCCAACTTCGGAAAACAGCAACGTCGGCATAAACGCCTGGAAGACCTGGTTGATTGCACGATTTTGGGCCCCAAGACACAATGCCGACCAATTGGCCATTCGAAACGAGCGGACCACCAGAATCTGAGTGGCACGCATTCTTACCTTCAGATGCAGCGCAAATCATAGCCTCAGTTACTTCGATGTTTTTGGGAGCATACGAGTTTTTGCAAACATTAAAGCTTACGATTTCAACATCAACACTCTGTAGAATTTCAGGGTAGCCGAACGTAGTTTCCCCCCAACCGGAAACTTTTGCACTTGAACCACCAGCCGGTGTTGAGGTCGCCAGTTCAATGGTTTTCATTTTGCGACTGCCATTAAGGAGGATTGGCTTACTCAGGAGAAGCAGAGCCACATCGTTCACAGCATGGGCATTATTTACATTATAGTATTTCTGATGAATCTTAACCTTTTCCACATTCAACAGTTGGCCTCCTCTGTTTTGTTTAGTTGAGCCAACGCGCACCTTGAGATCTTGGACACGAATGCGATCAACGCAATGAGCGGCGGTTATGATGATCCACTCATTGTAGATTGAACCACCACACAAATGGTGAGAATTATATTGAAGTGACACTTGCCAGGGAATGTCTTCAATACTAGTGTCCTTGCCGCCTATGATGGCCTGGAAGGAGACGCGATCAGCGGCCAGTAAGGTGGCTGCCGAGAGAATCAGAAAGCACTTAATGAACATCCTTCAGTTGCTTGTATTCTCGGATCCCGATGGTTTCAACTGAACGATGGCCCAGCTTATATAGTAAGCCAAAGCTGAGAAATTCGGAAAAGGTCTGAAGCTTTTAGAATTGTCGAGTTCTTATCGAAAAATGACATTCCAGGGCTTATTGGCAAGCCATAAATTGTAAGAGTTATAACCAAGGGCTAAGACTTCTATGAGTTGTGATAGGAATTTGTTAGTCGATTTTGTAACCGATCATATAATCAACATCTAGACATTTAAAGTGAAATGAATTTCGCAGATATTGGAAGAATACAGAGTAATAGGTGTTGCCTCAATTTCTATAATCTCTACAATCTGTTGATTGGCTGCTGATCAACAGTGTATTTATTTAGCGGAAAATGCAGCAATGCGGCCTTTTATTTATTATTATTATTATTACTATTATTATATATTATTTATAGGTAATCGCGACATCGATATTTTCTGTATCAAAGAAGAGTTATGGCTTTCACACTCGGCAGATGAACCAATATCAAGCTTATTAATTATTATATTTATTAATATAGCCTGCCTTTGGAACGATCAGTAAGTAAAGTACCTATGAGTATATAGTACGACTATATAGTGCTACATTAAATGTTAAATGTCAATCAAAATCTGAGCACTATATCATATAGGAATAGGAACGAAGACTCGTTTCGAGACACGATATTGCAGTCACATATAAAGTGTGAGTTTCCCTCTCCTAATCGATGAAAACAATATAACTCTGAATCTTTGGGGCCATTACTATGGAAGGTTGTCAATTGCCGGTCTATACTGTGTATGTCTGCTCGACAATTTTGGGCTCCAACGATAGCTCGCTGCTTATCAGTAGCTCTTCTGTTTTCATTCTGTTTTTTTTTTTTTTATAGCATTGGAATTGGAGGTGAAGTGCAATTTTAATTAGCGAAAGGCGTCAGATAAGGCTGCTCCGACACTGCACCTTATCGAACGGTTAGTTATCGGCATCCGACTGACGACTGGCAGGCTGCTGATAGTTGTGGGAACTATCTGGACTGCAGTAGCAAAATGATTGAGCAGCGCATAACATTGGAGCAGGTGGAGAATAATGTGATTGTGCCACCGGCCGCCTTCAAACGTGAAGATCTTCAAGTGTTTCTCGGTGGCGAGCGACCTCGGGTCTATCGCCTCTCACAGCGCCAACTGCTGCTCCTACTGCTGCTGCTATTTGGATCCGGCCTCATTGTTTGTTACGTCTACTGGGAGGTCACGATGCTGAGCGGATTGGCTTCGCTGCCCCATAGAGGTGGCGGGAGCAACGAATCGCTCGCCCAGACAATGGAGCGGGAGGTGCGGGTTCTCTGTTGGGTGCTAACTACACCGGAGTACCACAAATCGCGAGCCGTGCATATTCTACGCACCTGGGGACGGCGCTGTAATAAGATCTATTTCATGACCTCTCAGCCAGACGACGAATTGGAGACAATAGTGCTCACCAAGCCCGACAAGTATGAGGTGCTGTGGGGCAAGACGAAGGAGGCCTTCACCTACCTCTACGAGCATAAGCGCCACGAGGCCGATTGGTTCATGAAGGCCGATGACGACACGTGAGTAAGCCCCCCCCCCCACGTCCGCACAATTCTATAATTATTTGCGCCATTTTAGCTTCGTATTTGTGGAAAATTTGCGATACATGCTCTACCCGTACTCCCCCGACATTCCCATTTACTTTGGTTTCAACTACAAGCTGTTTCCAAAGCCCAAGGAGAAGGCGGTAAGTTGCCTCTTTCTCAAGACCAATAGTTCTCCCTCTCCCTCTCTTTTCTTAAAACGTATTTTTATGTTTTGTGCCGACAATCAGTTTGGCCCACAAAACTATTTTTAGTTGAATGTGATAAAAGTGGAGAGAGCAGAACTCTGAAGAATTCTTGCTACTCTATAATTCGTTCAAGTCATAAATCAATGAGAGTCGTTTTTAAATTGTAAAAAATAAGAATATTATTAGATTATTAGATGAATTATAATTAGAATTATAATCCTTCCTTTGTACTTGTTTTTTATAAAAAAAAAACCTGGAATGGAAAGAAAACTTAAAAGCGTTCTAAATAAATATTTTATTTTATCTTTTATCTTGGCAGGTCTTTCAATTTTTTTTTGCTTAAACTCATCTTTCTTTTTGGGCTATAAATGTTGGTCAAATGGAAAATGAAAAAAAAATAAAAAAAAGAAAAGGAAAGGAAAAAATTTTAAAGAGTTTTTATAAATTATTTGCGTCATCTCTATTTTTATCTGATAATCTTTAATAATTTTCATTCCGACTTAGTTAAAGCGGTTGACTGCTGTGTTGCCTGCTCGGCATAAATAATTGCTATTTTAGGAGATCTAATAAATTCGCAGCTTTCTTTTCAGCTTTCTTCCACTCGTTGCTCTATATAATTAGTTCCACACTGTATCTTTCTTATTTTGTTTGATACGTTTTACAACGAAGAGTTATAAGCATAGAGCATAGAAACTGGTATTTCTTTTTTATGTTTTTTTTAATCTTTAATAAGTTTCCTACCGATATTAATGAAGAGCTTTAATAATATCATCGTAAAGAGAAGACAGCAAAAAGTCAAATTTCTTGTGCCTCTAAATAAATTTCCATTCTTTTACTCTCTTTTAAGATTTCAATATTAAATAATTACTAACGACATCGTTTAATATCTCATAATTCACAAGTTTAATTTCGATTTATTTGAAGAGTTCGTCTGCTCTGAAGGAATATAAAATACCTCTGAAAAAATTCTACTCTATTTGAAACAATTTTATATCTCATAATATTTCACAAGTTTGATTCCGATAATTGAAGAGTTGGACTGAAGGAAGAAGGAAAGCAGCGTGATGAAATGCATCTTCTTTATTAATGGCTATTAATCTCCTATCGTTACTAAATATTAATTGTCATTTATCTTCAAATTTTTCCAAAATCTTGTTTTTAGCACTGATAGATAGAAAACAGCTTATCGAATCGATAGCTCTTCTATAATATTACGCAATTCTATATACAAGTATATAATTATATATATTTAAATATCTTGAATTTAATTCAAAACCCATTATCTTATAAATTCCTTTCATCTTCTATATATTGCAATCAGATAACTCTTCTTCTGTTCCTATTTATTTCTATCTTCCCTCGCTATACACATTATTTCAACTCTTCCACTTTCGTTCCACGTACGAGACTATCTCCAAATCTTCATTGTTCGTATTGTTTGTCAATATTTGTTTCGTTAGGTCTATATGTCTGGTGGCAGTGGTTATGTGCTGAGTCGTGAGGCACTTCGCTTGTTTGTTGAAGGCCTCAATGACACGAGCAAATGTCGTGAGCAGGACGATCAAGCCGAAGATATCGAGGCAGGCATCTGTCTTCGAAATGTGGGCGTTCTGGCTGGCGACTCACGCGACGCAAGGCTGCGGAATCGCTTCAGTCCCATGACACCGTTCTCCACACTCATGTCACACTACTATGGCATGGACTTCTGGTACTTTAAGTATGCCTTCTACAACTCCAGGGCGGTGAGTTGCAATTAAATCGCCATCGCGTTATCATTTAAATACCAGCCTTTTTGATTCTGACAGTGCATGGATTGCCTCTCCAATTATCCAGTGGCTTTTCATTACGTTAGACCGGAACTCCTGTATCTCTACGACTATTTGAACTATGAGTTCCAGCGATACGGAAGACCACAGCATGAGGACTATTTGCCGGCTAAGATCGAGCCGGACAAGCTAGTCATACCAGAGTCGGACAATGATGTGTGATCTCAAAAGCGCGAGAGTGGAGAGTGTTTTCTCTTTCCCTCCCCATAGCTTTCTGAATATATAAGGAGAAGAAGGTGCTATCTCGCTCATCAGCATGTTCTTCTCCTCTACCACTCTTACATAATAGCAGTTGGTTATTGTCTATTAAATAACTATAAATAAAATCGTTGACTGTTGTTTGCCAATTCTGTTTTCTTATCACACAAAGGCTGTCTAGTTAAAGAAATTAACAAAAACTGAAAGACAGACTAAAATCAATTCGTAAATATATTGAAGCTTCCTTCTCTCACTCATAATTCTATACTTTCTGCAATAATCTTCCATCATCTAGAAGATGATCATTTCACATCCTTCTCTCACTCATACATGTCTATTTTCTCCAATAATTTTTCTTTATCTGCACCATCTTCATTTCATTTCATTCTCTCACTCATGATTCTATACTTTCTGCAATCATCTTCCATCATCTACATGATTTTCTTCATTATGTACTTCAAAACGTGTAAATCAGTTGTTTGAGTCTTTAGTCTTGTCAAATACTTGCAAAGGATCCCAGAAAAGTAGTTCCTTTACATAGAAAGGCTGGTTAATCAGACATTTCACAAGTTACAGAACTTCTTCTCTACCGCTCGTACATAACATTTATCCATTTATACATACATCTTTTGTCCATTTATATAACTATAAATAAAATCGTTGACTGTTAGCCAATTCTGTTTTCTTGTCACACAAAAGCTGTCTAGTTAAAGAAATTAACAAAAGCTGAAACACAGACTAAAATCAAATCGTAAATATATTGAAACTTCCTTCTCCCACTCATAATTCTATACTCTCTTCCATCATCTTCCGTCATCTACATCATCTTCATTTCACTTCCTTCTCCCTCTCATAATTCTGTACTCTCTTCAATCATCTTCTTCATCTACATAATTTTCTTCATTGTATTCTTGAAAACTTTTAAATCAGTTGTACAACACATTTATCCATTTATACACCTTTTGTCCATTTATATAACTATAAATAAAATCGTTGACTATTGTTAGCCAATTTTCTTTTCTTTACAAATTAAAGCTGTCTAGTGAAAAAAATTAACAAAAAGTAGAGACAGGCTGAAATCAATGTGTAAATTTATTGAAATGAATCCAAAAGCCTTTCACCGAAATATGAAATAAATGTTTAATGCTCAATCTGATGACAAAGAATGGCAAATCCAGCTGACAACTTCCCTTATAAGCAGTCCGTTTACAAAAGGCTTTCAGGGACAGCTGTGCCTGCAGCTCGACAAAGGCTTCAAGCTGTTTCGACTTCAATGGGAGAATTTCATTAAAATAATAATTGCTTTGAGCTGGTTTCGCAAAAACTCTTACTTAGCTTGGAGGACCCTTTTTAAAATAGGATGGACAGGACTCTTAAGGCGTCATTCCAACACTTGCATGTGAGTCAGGGGGCCAGCTTTTAATTGTTTGGCAAAAATAAAGGTGCACCTGCTCTGCTCAAATCCGAGCCCTGCGTGTTGACTAACATCAACAACAACAACAATAATCACAACAACAATGGCAATGGCAATGAACAAATGCATTTCACTTTTGTAATCAAATGAAATGAACCAAAACGACGTCACTGCCACCGTCACCACGCCACACGGCATTTGAAATTGTAAATTATGTTTTCGGGCCGAAAAAGGACCAAAAAGGACCCGACCCAGGCAATCAAAACGTCAGGTGTCGAAAATGTGCAGTACAGAGTCCCTCGCACAGTGCTTCCTTCTCAGGGGAATGCCGACTCATGAAAACTACTTAATCTGTACCTTTTTGTACTTTGTAGCCGCTTTTATTAGAAGAGGGCTCAGAGTACTTATTATAAAAAAAGACTGCCTAAGTACTTGGTACTTGGTATCGAAAAGAGATTTACTAATGTTTTACAACACTTTTTAAAGCTTCCTGTCACCACCATTTGTATGCTTTGTCCGTCTGTTTGTCCGTCTGAACGCCTCCTTCTCATAAACTAGAGGAACTACAGAAGCCAAACTGGTTGGAAATATTGCGCAGATGTGTTGAGCGTTTAAGTACGCATTATTATATGGTATATGGAGGTTTCAATTAATAAAGTACTTTAATTTATGTCACAAAGTGCCATGCATAGTATGTTTTTCGTCTGTTTGTCCGTCTGAACGCATCCTTCTCGTAAACTAGAGGATCTACAGAAGCCAAACTGGTTGAAAATACTGCGCAGATGTGTTGAGCGTTTAAGTATGTAATATTATATGGTATATAGAGTTCTAAACTAATTCAGTACTTTAATTTGTTTCAAAAAGTGCCATGCATAGTATTTTTTTCGTCTGTTTGTCCGTCTGAACGCCTCCTTCTCGTAAACTAGAGGACCTACAGACGCGAAACTTTTTGTTAAATTCTGCGCAGATGTGTTGTGCGTTTAAGTATGCATTATTTTGAATTTATGCAGTTAATACCGTACTTTAATTTATTTGCTTACTGTCACTGTGCCTCAATAACCGTATAGTGTGGCGGAGTTAGTTTCGGTTTCGGTAGCGCCAGTCAGTCAGTCAGTCAGTCGGTTTCGCTGTCTACTCATACTTCTGCTTCCGTTTCTGGTCTGCGTGTCTGCGTTTGCGCCATCGTTGCATCGTTGAATCGTTGCTGCCGTCTGGCGTGCGCTAATTATGCAAACTACCTGCTGTTACTCAATTAATCTTGATTACGTTTGTGTTATCCAAATACAATTATTTCGGTATTAATTACAGTGACCAGAGCGGCGCCAGCTGCTGAGCTGAGCTGACTCGAGGCTTCTGCTGCTGCTGCTGCTCCACGACTTGCTGCTCGACAGAGTCGCTTGTCTGCCAGACAGCCAGGCCAACCAACCAACCAGCCAGCCAGCCACGACATTTTATAGTTGTTGTTGTTGTTGTTGTAGCTGTTGCTGCTAAGGGTGGACTGCTCGTCTGCTCGTCGGCCGTGTTCCAATTTGTGCAACGGAAATTGTCTGTGTCTGTGTGTTGCCTAATTTTCCGCGCTAATAATAGCAACAATAACAACACACACACACACGCACACACGCACTCACACTCGCACACAAATAGGGAGACAGTTTGAGAGAAGCGGCCAAGTGTTGGGCATTGGAACACAAACATGGCGGTTTCATCATCATAATCAACATTTGACGAGCATTTCAACTGTGGGTCCCACAATTAGCCGCTCAGCCGGTGCATGACTTTGCGGTCGCAGCCTTTGGGCGCCCCCGAAGCCTCAGATTCGATCGCAGCTGCCAATTTGGCTAGAATTCTAGTTGGTTCTACTACTGGTTGGCGGCTTCTGCCAAATACGAGCAATCCAATTGAATTTCCAAACTGAATGGCCGCCAGAGCGTTGGCAAATCGAAAAAATTCCAATTTCGTGCAGATTTTCGGCCATTCATCTGTTCATAGCTTGTTTGGCGTCCAAAATAAGGCAGCCTTGCTTTAATGAGCCCAACTTAAATATTCATTTGAAAGTAAAGAGAAAACAAATTTTGGAATATATCAGCCTGTTAGCTAAACAAAATAGCAATCACTGCTTTGGCCTTATACGAGAGGAGTGGAGTCCATACTAGAAGTGGAGAACAATCGCTTGTTGGGCGCTATCGAACTGTTATCGATCGTAGACCTGCACTATCGATCATTTTAAATAGTTTTTCTTCAAAGCTTTGCACTTCGAGAGCAAAGCAGCATATTATTAATATTGTAGCCCACAGCATGTATTCAATTAAAATTAATTTATTACTATTCAATATATATGCATACACTTTTATAATATGTGCACTATGTTAAGTAAATTTATCTCATCGAGTTCTGATAGCCAATATGAATGCTGCAGTTGATAAAAATAGTGACGAATAATTTGTTTGGATTTTGTGGCGGAAAAGGCAAAGGAAAATACAACTGCCATTATTATAAAGACTGTCGCTTTATAATATTTTTTGTGAAACATTTTATAATCTATTTCAAGCGCGAACCGATTTTAGCGTTACGCTGAACAGCCTTAAGATCTCTAGTCTTGAGTGATCGCAGGAGACAGATCCACTGCTCTGGATAAAAGTAAATGCATATTTAAATTTGTAACGATCTTTTTTAAACGATTTTTCATATTTCAGGTGAACGAAGCTGAATTCGATCCGAAACTTCAGTGAAATCTCAAGGCAAAAAAAAAAAAAAAAAACCACGCAAGGTAAGAGAATTTAATTTAGCATTGCTAATTAATATAGCTGGTAGATAGATAAGAGATATTTTTATGAAAACTGATATTGAATCGTAAAAAACTATAGAGGCCAAGGGGTGCCTACTAAATGGTGCTCCATCACAGGGTAACAATTGCTTCCAAGGTGAGCTGGTGAGTAGAACTAGTAACAATATTTTTACAAAAAGTGATATTGAATCGTGAAAAAACTATGGAAGCAAAAAATGAGAAGGCTGGTGCTTACTAATGGAGCACCAACACAGAGTAATCAGTGAACAATTGCCTCCAAGATGAGCTGGTAAGTAGAACTAGTAACTATATTTGTAGGAGAAGTGATGTTGAATCGTGACTTCTATAGTTTTAGAAGTCAGCAGTGAAAAAGGTGGTGCTTTACAAAAGGGATAGTTGCCTTTCAAATGGGGAAATCGTAATCGCCATTACTGACTACTCTCTAAAGGTGAAACGGTAAGTGAATTGAATCGTGTAAGAATTACAGAAGCCAAGAGTGGGAATTCCAGTGCTCACTAATGGTGCTCCATCAATGGCTGAGCACTGAATAATTGCTTTGAAAATGGCAACATTCTGATTGCCATTGGTAATTAGTATTGAAAGGTAAACTGGTTTGTAGTCCACGAGCGTCCATCAGCTCAACAGGATGTGTCTTTCTAAATGAGTGCTAACTAAAATTGAATCGTATCAGAGGACCATATAGGGACAGAGTGAAAAGGCTGGCCACCATTTGTCTAAATCGTAATTGTATGCGAGCAGGAATTAAAATTAACTGCGGGGCCTGTGCTCTGCGCAATATTTACAATAAAACTTTATTGTGCAATGCCACAATGTGTGCCCAAACCACATGATGCAGTCGCCAGAGCCTCGATTGGCCGGCCGCTTGGCTGACGAACCAGAAACTATGTCACTCTGTTACTCTGTCACTCTGCCTCTACTGCTATTACACT